ATAGGACTAGATCTCCGTTGTGTTCATTTTCAATCATCTCGTCGTCCATGCTACTATGCTAACGCCACCGCCACCAAGCTGCAAGGATTTGCCGCCAATGAATACCGCCGAATCTGTCGATTCATCTTGTAGTGGTGCGTCAAATGCAACGTAGATTCCCATCCAATTAGATTGAATTTGGTATTGATGACGTGAAAAATAATAATGGTAAGTCCATTGAAATGATTCAAAACGGTCCTGCTGGCGGCGCGCCGCTGGTGTGTGGGGGTCCGGGCGGCTCCGGCGGGGGTGGTGTTGGGGGGCCTGTGTGGGCGGGCTGGCTGCGCTGACTGGGTATTCGGGTGTGTTTTCCCTCTTGGAGGCATGGCGGAGCTGCACTGTTCCCGCTGATCGCGGCGGGTGGGGCTGCGGGGCGGGTGGGGGTTTGGAGTGGCTCTGGCCGGCGCGTGTTGGGGGGCCGGGGCGGCGGAGCTGCTCTGGCCGCGTGTCAGGGCCTGGTGCGGGCGGCGGGGGGGGGGCGGCGGACGTGGCTGAGCTGCTTTGGCTTCGTCCGGTGGGGGAGCGGCATGGTTCGCTCCGCTCTGGCTTTGTGCTGCCCCTCGGGCTGCTGGGGGGGGGGGGGGGGGGGGGGGTTGCGCTGGCTGGGGTCTGCTCTTCTTGCGGTTTTGCGGCTTTTCTGCTCTCGGGCTGATTCTGTGCGCGTTGTGTTGCGTTGCGCGCTGTTGGCATCGGTCTTGGTGGGGCTGCGCTTTTGGCCGGGGGGGCGTTTTGGGGGGGTCCAGTGGCGCTCGCGGCCGGTTCGCGGGGCTTGGTGCCGGGGGGCGGGGCGTGTTTCGGTGCTCTGTGGGGCTGGGGCATTTCGGTCGGTGCCGTGGGGGGGCTGGTGGTTCGGTGCCCGGCCCTACTTCAGGGTGGCCGGCTGCCGGCGGGGCCCGCGGACTCGTCCCCGCGGCTCCCCGGGGCGCCGGCATGGTCTGGGGGGCTTCTTCGTGGCTGTCTCTCCTCCTCCCTTGGTGGGGGTCTGATTTCTGGGGCTGGCCCCGCCTTGGTGCCTTCGCTTCTGGGGTCCCTTTGGGCGCCTGGGGCTTTGGGTCTCCCGGCGCTGGACTCAGTGCTCTGGGGGGTGTGCCTCTCCGGCTCTCCACAACCACTATTGAGCATTTTTTCTATGGTTAAAACTTTACATGCACAAGTTCACCCTCACAAACAACTACAGGTGCTAGGCTTCAGGTACTTAGAGATTCACTTCCAAACAGAAACCCCACATTCATATCTTCAGGTAACACAGAGTACATGTCAGACTTAATATTACTTTAGCGATAGTTTCAAGGTGTTTGCTTTATTGTATATCTCGTACCATGTCTTTTGGTTGTGCTGTTCTTTTTTTTCATCTCATTGCAGGTGATGAAGCAGACTGAAAATGTTTTGTCATTGTCTCCTTCCTATCTCCTCTTTCTTTCATCTTTTGTCCTTTTTTTTTCTTTTTCTTTTTCCTTCTTCTTCTTTTGTTTTTCTGCTCTACTTACATTGCAGTGTCCATATGAACTGTAAAACTCCCTGCATAATTATAATAAAGCAATTTATATACATGAAACAAGTGGAGCAGTATGGCAATTGCCATACCGCTACACTTGTGAAAGTAAAATCTGTTGGGCTCCTTTTGGCATCAAGACAATTACTCTTATTGCCACCTTGCCAGACAGGACACTGTAAAAAAAAAAGAAAAAAAAAAAAAAAGAAATGATTCAAAACTAAAGTAACGAGCCAATTTGTTTAAATGTAAGGAGTAGAAAGTACAGATATTTGTGTAAAAATGTAAGGAGTAGTAGTAAAAAGTCGCCATAAAAATAAGTAGTAAAGTAAAGTAAAAATATCAGAAAAATCTACTTGAGTACAGTAACGAAGTGTTGTACTTCATTACTTCCCATCTCTGTCTATTAGCTATTACCTTTTCCATTGGAAAAGGTAATAGCTTTATTACCTTTTTTTCCATTGGAAAAGGTTTAATCAATTAATTTTATAAGAACCAGGTGACTCTCAGATATCTGCAGCACAAACAGAAAACATTTTTGGCAAAATGTCATTCATTAAAGTTACTCAACATGTTCGATTAATTAATATTTAGATTTTATATTTATAAGCAAATATTTATATCAAAAATAAGCTGTAGACAGCAGAGTCTGCAACAAAAGGATTTCAGAAGGGATCTCCTGAACTATAATATAGATAGATAGATATTTGTTGTTTGTATGAGGCAAAGAGAAATTATTCCATCTTATCATTACTCCAATAAAACTAAACTGGGAAAATACTTAAACTAAAATATCAAAACTTTATGGTCAAACATATTGCATTTTATTCTTGCAATTGGAGTTTTTACCAGATTCCTGAAAAGCAGTTTATATTTTATTTCAGTCACTACAAATTGATACCAGACAGCAGGAAATCCCTAAGCCCCTGACCACAACTCTCTTAGCTACCCTAGTAGCCCAATCTGACAGATTTCAGTTTGTTCATGTTACTGATAAATAATCATCAATTTCTAGCATTACTTGTGGAGGACCACATGGATCAGTGCTAAGGCCAATTCTCTCTACAATATATATGCCTTGAATTGGTAGAATCAGACTGCATGGGGTTAATTTTCCCTGTTATGCAGATTATACTCAGCTACTTTATATTTGTCCTCAAATCCTGAAGAAAGTAACCAATTACATAGAGTACAGGCAAGTTGTAAAGACACAAAAACCTTGGTGAGTCTTAACATTGCATATAATTTTATTATACTTGCAGGCTAATACCGGTAGGTAAATATGCAAGTGGCTGTTTTAGATAACTACATTTTACCCGAGGATGAACCAGATTTGTTGGGTTTGCAAATGTATCTTCTGATCTCTTGGGGTTTTGGTGCCATAGGTTTTATGATAATTTCTAAATTTAAAAATGAGAGTCTAATAGCTTAATCTCCTATCTGTTTTTTTTTTTTAAACATTAAGCAATAAGTGAAAACCCACATTCAAAAGTGCTTTGGTAAGTCTTGGTTTCATAAAAAAGTAGTGAAATTTCACAACACCCTCCTCCCTGGAACTCCTGCTTTGACCTTTGTGCGTCATTTGTGAAGCAAGATTAAATGATTAGGCAAGATTAAGCAGGCTAGGCTTATGATTTCATTAACTGAACCATCCCGGGAACTTAAATATCTGCTTCTAAATTGTTATTAAAATCTAAATGTTATTATTGTAAAGGTTCTTGTTTTCGACTTTAGGCAGATAAAATGTTATTTTACCAAATTGTTCTTTATTTACCACCTTATATTTCATTTTGAATTGGTTTGAACACATTCAAATACCCCTTAATCAAAAACTCTTCTAGATAAACTCTGGTGCTTGAATATAAAATCTATGTTGGACTACAAATCATTGCATCACTTTTTGATTATGCATTTTAACCATTTTATTATTATTTTTTTTTTTTTACCTTTTTCTATGTGTACATAGTAGAGTACTTTAGTTTAGTTTTACTAGTTTATTTCTTAACTGAAAATGTTTCATGTGCAGTTTAATGACTTTTGATAATATATCCTCATATTTTGAATGTTATGGTGACCTTATTCCATATATATTTTTATTTATTTATTTTTATTTATCCTTTATTTAACCAGGTAATACCCATTGAGATTAAAAATCTCTTTTGCAAGGGAGACCTGGCCAAGATAGGCATCAAAATTACATCACATCATTACATACATACAAAGACACAAACATGAAAGCCAAATATGCACTTACAATAAAATTTCAATTAAAACATTGACATGTGAGGGAGTCCAACTCAAAAACATCTCATTCTCAGCTTAAAAGTATTCAAAGGAACCAATTTACTAAGTTTCAAGTTATTTTGCTGCAAATTTCATGTAAAGGGAGCAGAGTAAGCAAAGGTCTTTTTACCTAGCTCAGTACTGACACGAGGGACAGAAAACAAGACAACAGCCTGAGAACGGAGAGAGTAATGACTAGTACTTTTTTTTCATAAGAAGTGAACATAAATAAGATGGAAGCGCACCAAGAATAGCTTTATATGTATAAATATATACCAATGACAAAGCCTCTGTGTAGCCAAGGCAGACCATTCCATATATGTGCTGAGTTATCTGTTTGACCATGATTTGAGCTTAATTCAAATTTTAATTTGCTGTCCTAACACATACACAGTTTGCCATGTGTTCACAGACAACATCAGACTCTATGAAAGGTATCTGAGTAAAATAATTGCTGTTTGTTTTTCAGTACTACTAGAAAGGTGTGGCATCTCTTTATTACTATAATCTCTTTTGAGATATCCTCACAAAGCTAAACTGAAGGACACATTGGGAAATAAACATATTTTTCCAGACTTTGCATCCAGTCAGACTAGGCTTAAGCTATAAAAAAAAAAAAAAAAAAGATTTAGTCCGGGGGCTGAGTGAAATGCCTATGTCTAAGATATGTATGTGAAAAAAAAAAAAAGATCTAATCATAGGCCTTTATCATTGTCCTTCCAATTTATTAAGAAGAAAATCTAAATGGTAAAAAAGCAAACCTCTACAGCTTCAAACCATTTTTTCCTGTGGTCATCTTTTTAAGTTTAAATATTGTCTATTTTTTTAAACAAAAACTAAACAATTCAGTGAATAAAATAAGTAAAAACTTCTCACTACTTACCAGTCCTGATTTAGAGATTTCCATGCCCAAACTTGTTACTGAAGGCTTCCCAAAAAGCCATTACAAGACAAAACTATCTAATTACATAACTGAGTTGATGCTATTTAATGCTGAACAATCTATAAGCTCTTTCTGTTTCAAACATACATATTAACGCTCACTGACACATACAGAGATCAAACAATGCTTATATTAAAGGTGATCATAGTGCGCCAGCTAGAGTCACAAGTGAAGTACAGCCCTTTTTAGGAAGGATATAAAAGAAGCTGCAGAACATTAACATCCTTCCTAGTCTTGGATGTGGGAAGGGTATGCCACTTAGTTTTCAGTATCTGGATGCAATAAAGATGCTTTTCTTACCTACCTGCAGTCTTCTTCTGCTTCTTCCTAATGTTGTCAATTCTGGTGAGTAAATGCGTTTTTGGATTTAACTGAATACTTTATCATAAAATAATAAAGTTTTTGTGGTCTCAGTTTTGGACATATTTTGGCAGAAGGCTCTGTTATGGTAACTCCTGTTAAACCAATTCTTGAAAGCTTTGATCAGTTACAGGCGATTATAGTTACAGTTACTATTGCAAACACTTGTTATAAAAATGCCAAACAGATGATATTGGTAGAAATTGCTGGTCCTGAAATCGATCATGTACATCAGTGGTACCAAACTCCTGTGTAGTGATTCATTTACAAGTTCCAGAATTAGAGCAGTTAAGTACTGAAGTTCAAGCTCCACTCCCACAGACTGAAACTCTGGGTCCCAGGGCAAGACCCTTAACCCCACGCTGCTCCCCGGATGCCGCACAATGTCAGCGTACTGCTTCCCAAGGGGATGTGTTAAATACAAAGAGTTAATTTTGTTGCTCGGTACTTGTAACTGTATAATAACAATAATAAAAACAATAATAATAAAAGCTTAAATTAGAAAACCTTTGGTAAGATACGGTACTCAGCTGCCTATTAAAAAAAAACAACAAAAAATAAAATCATTACTTAGCCCTTTAACTATCTTAGCTTCCGCACACAATTCTGGTTTGCAATTGCATAAATTATCTTTCTTTTCCTAGTTTTTTTTTTTTTTCTTCACTGTTTAACTGCAGGACGGATTCTGTTAAAGATCACTCAGCGTTTCCGTGATCTTCACACTCAGAGAAATAAAGAGTTTTTCCAGACGGCGCTTGCTGATGAACATCAGCCTCTTCAACACGTGAAGGAGGGCGTTCTTGATCAGCCGTTGGACCATTTTAACCGGCAAAACATCAACACCTTCCGTCAGGTAGCTTATAAGTATATTAGAAATGTGTTTTTAGCCTAGCATTTTCTCATGTTTTTATAAGTGCAGCAAAATGATCTAATTATCCTTTCTTTAAACAATGTAACCTATTATTAATGTTAACTAAGTTCCTGTTTATGCTACAACTATTCTGGAGGATCTTGTTTTCTCAACATAACCCAATTTTTTGGGACTGTTTTCCTTAGACCACTTTTAGAGTTACGTGGGGACATTTTTATCTGAGGCATCTATCTGCTAAAGGTACCTGGACACCTCTTAGTTAGATGAATATAGATGCTATCAGGCATAAACTGGCTGGTCATTTACAATAAAATCTAAATAAGTCAAACCCTGGGATTATGCATAGATAGATAGTAGCAAGAGTGACTTTTATTTTCAATGTCACCAATTTTTTTCAAGCTTATGGCAGATTGTAGGTGGTTGTTATGGCAACTGTATACCGGTAATATCCCAGTACAAGAGCCCAACATTCACTTGCATAAACTTAATTTCAGCGCTCCAGTAAAGATGAGTAACACATCTATCAGTCATCACTTAACTTTATTGGAGAAAATTACTTTTACTAATTACTTGTAGTGTCTGTGCGCCGAATGTGAGCTGTGTTAAGTGACAAATTTTATATTCCTCTTTTCTCATATTGTGCCTTTTAAATTAAAGATGGAAATCATCATTATAATGCTCAGTACATATTTTACCGTCTATATGATCCGGGGTGCAGGACCTAGAGTTACAAGGAATGCTACATCCAAACAAGAACAGCAACATATTTTTGGTGTAGAAAAAAAAAATCCTTATACTGTACAGGTACTTTTACTACATTAATTATTTATGGAGCACTTTATAAACAACTGCCGTTGAAACAAAGGGCTGCGTCGGAACAAGAACATTGCAACAAAGATAAAGAAGGAAAACAATTGAAACAGCAATCTCAGCAAAACAACAAAACAAGATAAAAACATACAGCAAAAAAAGCTTAATGTTGAGCCAAAACCAAGGAATAAAATAAACTTCAAACAATTTTTTAAAGTGGTCAGTAAATGGGAAATGTCTGACATAAATTGGGAGTTTATTCTATAAAGGAGGAGCAGCAGTGTGGCTCTATCCTCTCTGAGTTTGACCTGCTTGACCATGGCTGCTCCAGGAGCATCTGATCAGCTTACCTGAAACATTGAGAAGGAGAGTTTGGTGAAACAGCTGAAACAGGTAAGACCATGGAAACTTTTAAAAACAATTTAAAAAAAACTTAAAATTAAACTGAACTATAAAATGTAAACCAGGCCAGCAGAGGAGGTCCAAGTTGGAATTGATATCTCTTACCATCTCCAGATGGAAGCTTAGTACTATAAAAAACTCAAGGAGTTTCTAAAAGGACTGTTTGAGCAAAGAATAGATGGCAATGCAGTGGTGAAGCCTGGTTATAATAAAAGCATAAATAGCCATCTAAAGGTTCAGTTTTGAAAAAAAGAAATGCTTTCTTTATTCAAGCTGCCTGGGGTTGGTTTCATAGTAGGGAATTATACTTTTAACCATCTGAGCAGGTTGGTTGAAAGTATTTGAAACTCCAGTGTATAATTGTGCTTAAAAACAGCAACAGGCTTATTACAAACCAAGAAACAAAAATACCTTAATTGTCAATAACAACAACTTTTTGAGCTTGTTGGAAAGAGTTATGGTAGTATGATTTAGGAGATGTTGGGAGATTGATCTGCTATAAATTACAGTGAGACAGTCTTTTACTGGAGCTCTCTAGTTCTGAAAAAATAGATGCATTGGTATTGTCCGACAGTTAAGTTATGTTGCTAGAGTTCTCCAGTCTCCCTGCACATTCTGAGACTTTGACCTTCCTGATGTGCTGATCTAACTCTGAATGCCATACCAAACCATAGTGAATGTCTGGTGCTACCACAGAGTCAAAAAAGGTTTTAAGCTTTCCAACAGTTTCCTTAGCAGATAGAAGCCGCTCTGACACTTTAGAGAGAGAGAGGGTCAGCATTATTACTGTGGTCCACTTTATTGTTTCTGGGTCCACCCAGCTATCTATAAAAGTATATTATCGCCATATAAATTTCCTTGACATTCACCAGTGTAGCTGCTCTGGGTCTTTATCTTTGTAATTCCACCACCAGCTGCTTAACTTTTCCTGTGTTGATTAGGAAGTGCTTCTGCTGGTACCAGTCCACAAAATCCAGTGTCCACTGTCTCTACTCTGAGTTAACCTAACCTGTATGGGGACAGAGTATGGCAGAGAACAGAGACCCTGTAACTAAGGATGGGGAATCCTATAGTGCGGAGGGGGAACAGAACATTTCTCAGTACAGTTCCCAGTGGGGCCCCTGTACTATAACCTTGGGTTGTTTCCAGGAAGGTTGTCCGGAAGATGCTGGTCTGGCCCTAACAGCTGTGTGCCACTCCAGAGGTGGAGGCTGGTTGGTGTTGAAATTTCAAGAGAAATCATGCAATATGATCTCCACAGGGGTTCCAGGATTCTTCAAGTGGGTCAGAAGTCAGAGCTGCAGGTACAGTAGATGATGCCAGGCTGATAGGCACACTGCAGCGGATCCATGAAGATCTCAACAGCAGACAAAGATGGATGAGGATCAACCTCTGAGGGTCTTTAACAGATGAGGGGTCATTGCTGCCGGCTCCTAGTTCTTCAAATGTCTTCTACACTGGTGCCACACAGGACATCTCCAGCAGATGTGCTACTTTTCCCAGTTTCAGGCTAATTTTGAATATATATTCCATGATACCACACAGCCAATCAACATAGCACTATTGTACGGTAGTTTGGGGCGAATCCCATCCAGACCTTCAACCAATCGCAGTGTAAATAGAATATTAGACTGTTATATCTGTACTTATGATTTTATAATTCCAATCATGTCTGCATGTCTGTCTGGGTCACAGCGGTTTTTGGTGAACGAGGAGTACTGGCAACGTCCGGAGGGTCCTGTGTTTCTCTTCGTTGGTGGAGAAGGGCCCATCTGCAAATTTGATGTACTTACAGGTACGGTAGCCTGCAAAATGATGATGATCTCTTTAATCATTTATTAACTTGACAATAGACTTTAGGAAAAGTCCTATATTAACAGAGAGTAAGTTTTTGAGGCTGTAGAGGATCATTGCTTGCAATTTTTCTTTGTCCTGCAAAGATTTAGGCATGCTTATTTCAAAGCTGCAGAATAGCAATGTCATTAAGGAAACTTCATTAAGTTATAACCCAACACAAACTTCTGTATAAGTTTCCAATGTCTAATTAGAGATTTAAACTCATATTGAGTTTAACACAACAGCTAAGCAATAAAGTGTAACAACACTATCCATATCATGACAAACACTTAAAATCCCATTTTAGTCATTTGAAATGCTCTGAAAATTCTAAGCTGTCTGCTCTATTCTGTATTTGTGTTTTACTTGAATATAAACTGGAAACATTTCAGTACGTAACGTGTTTTTTGCAGGTCATCATGTTGACATCGCAAAAGAGCACGGGGGTCTGCTGCTGGCTGTGGAGCACCGTTTCTATGGTGACAGCATCAACCCTGATGGACTGGAAACAGAGAACCTGGCATACCTGAGCAGCCAGCAGGCGTTAGTGTTGGCTTTTCCCCAATTTCTGTGTGCGTGTGTAAGCATGTGTGTGTACCTGGAAATAAGGAGTTTATGCTTTTCTCATTTTGTCCATCTGATTTATTATTTATCTTGTTTCTATTCAGATGTCTCCTGTAGCTTATTCCTTATAGAATGATTTTTGAGTAGAATGTTTATGATTGTTCCACTAACTAGTGTCACCTCATCTTTATCTAAGTCTGAAAACATTTTATCATTGTACTCTTCAAAGCCAGGAGTGAGAAAGAGTTACAATTTCATATATCTAAGCTTGCACGAATCTGCAGATGTCTAATATATTTACTGTACTTTATAGAGTTATTTTTCTTACTAGTCAAACTGCTATGATTTAGAGCATTAGCAAATTTTATAGTTCAACAGAGATCTAAGGAAACAATACTTATTATATAAAAGAAGACATGCTTGAAAACTTGCTTGGTTTTAAATTAAAAACTAAGTTCTCCCTAAACCTACCACAACGTTGAGCAAATGTTGGCATCAGGCCCACTCTCCTTGGCAGAAATATTTGAACTCAACCATATACAGCTGGAAGGCTTTGGAGCATAAAAACATAATCTTAAGCAGTCCCATACCATCACACATCCACCTCTATGTTTTACAGAATGCATGCTTTTCTTTATCTGAAATACTCTGTTAGCTCTATGTCTTACAGGATTGTTATGGTAAAAAAAATGTCAAACTCAATATAGATATCCAGAAAAACAGTTGATACTTGATACCAATAGCACTGTGATCAAAATAACTATAATGGAAATATGCAAACTGCATTTGTCCTTAGCATCAATACCGTGCCAAATTGCTATCCAGATACAATGTTTGAGTATGGATACTTTTCAAAGTATGAATACTTTTGACAAATCTAAAGTCTGAAAAATTACATTTTGTCTCATCGGTCAACTAAAGATTTTTTACCTTAATAATCCATACGATCATTAAGGTGATCATTCAGTGTGGCTTCATAAAAACTAACTGATTAAAAGACAAATTATGTTTACTAGCTTGGTTGGGGCTCGTTAAACTTGGCTTTCCAATAAACAAAAATTAAAAAAAATGTTTAGCTGCAGCAAGTTTAGAATTTCTAAATGGGATGATACCTTTCTCACATGGGGCCAGGCAGGTTTGGACGGTTTCCTGCTCTCAAAGAAAAAATTATAATTTGAAGGATTTGTTTTCTTATTTGCTAATTTTATCTTTGATTATAAATTATTTGAGAGTCTAAAACAGATCTAGACCAAATCCTTTCACTGCATATCTTTATTGTCTTTGATTCAGGCTGGCTGACTTGGCTGTATTTCATCAGTACATCAGCGAGAGCTTTAATCTGAGCTGCAGGAACACCTGGATCAGCTTTGGAGGCTCCTACTCTGGATCTTTGTCTGCCTGGTTTAGAGGAAAGGTGAAACACCTGGTTCACCTATGGATCTCTCAAATTAATAGACATAGTGGTTTCACATTTTTTTTTTTTTATGTCCGTCATGTAATAAAAAAAAGTATAGATTAATTAATCCTGAAACTAAGTTGAAACTTGCAAAGATATTATTCTGTTTCAATTAAATGTGATTGGTGATAAATATTCTTCATCTTGATTTCTCTGTGAAATTGCAGAACAGAAGTATAATTAAGAGATATTTTGCTATAGAAATACTTTGAAGCCTCTTAGAGTCTATAAATTATGCACAAAGAGTTGAAAAATTAGGTCCACCAACAAAAGGAAAGGAAGATATTCTACACTTAGCCAACTACAACATTGCACATGGTTATTTAAATTGTAAATGTCTGCAGACATAATATGTAGCTTTTTTCCAGCGGTAGAGTTTACATCTGATTATCAAATTCTATCTAAAACACACTCAAACATGCTGTCATAAGTGGGACTCATTGTGACTCATTGTTTTTGGGATTACTACAAGAATCCCTTTCACCTTCTCTCTATGCTTCAATATGGCCAAAGTAAGATAGTCTTCTCGTGATGACAACACCACCGCTCCCCACCTCTTTCCCACCCCTCAGGGTCTCTTTGCATCGAGCACCTGGGTGGGATTTTTCAAAATTTGGGTTATTTTTTCATATGGGGTGAGTTACACTTTAAATTAGCTCATACATTTTCTTTGTCCAATCTGCAGTTTCCCAATCTGGTGTATGGAGCTGTAGCTTCCTCTGCTCCAGTGAAGGCAAAGCTGGATTTTTCTGAGTACAGCAATGTAAGGAGCCACTAATTAATCTACCAAATCCTTAACCTTAGAAATGTTACTTTTGACTGCATAAAGAAAAACAGAACTGTCTGTAAGAACAGAAGTGGACCGCAACTTCTCATTTCCTTCTTTTTCATGTCTTTATTCTCCTTCTCTTAGGTTGTCGGTTTAGGTCTAAAGAATGAGGCTGTTGGTGGCTCAGAGGAGGTGTGAAAATGCCCTCAGTTTCCCCATCAATAATGTGTGAAAAATTTACTTCCTCTCTGCATTTGTTTGGCTTATATTGAGTCTCTTCCGCTGTCGGCAGTGCCTGGCTAAAGTCCGGGAGGCGTTTGTTCTTGTCGAAGCAACTCTGATAAGTGAAAATTTCACCAAGGTGGCTGCAGACTTTGGCTGCTGCCAGACTCCAAATAATCCTGATGATCAGGTGATGTCTCTTTTTTTTTTCTTCAACTAAAAGAAACAAACATTAAGATGTAACCACAAAGCAGTTTTAATATTTATTTTGTTGTCATTTATAAATCAGTGTTCAAGTTTATTTTAAAACGCCAAACAAAGGAACATTTTCCCCTTTTGTTTCAATATTTACCTTTTGCAGCTACACTATAATGACTTCAACTCAAATAGAAAAGCTTTCGCTTTTTGGTTGTACAAGAACATTTTAAACAAATTTTCAAGAAAAGTATTGGTAATGTTGAAGCATTAAGAGTTAATAATACTGTAAACTTTACTATAAATCCAAACAGTTTCACACCATAACTCCACCGGGACCCAGGTTTATAGTTGTTGCAGTGCAGTTAGACAAGAACATTTCTCCTGGCAAAATCAAAACTAATCCTTTGGATTATCAAACAACTGTGGTCTTACACCACCACCATCTGAAACCTGGAATTGCACTCAGAGATGTAAGGATTTAATGAGCTGCCCAACCATGAAAACCTATTCTATGCTCTTGAGTTGATGTGCAGCAATCCTTCCTTATGAAGTCACGTGGCCTTCAACTGTCTCAACTGTTTGATGTCGTTCCAAAACACTTTCACTGGTTGTGAGATGGTTAATAGAAAATATTCTGATTTAAATCATTGCACTGATTGAATCCTATCATGGGACCAGAGTGGAATTCACTGAGGTTGTTAGAGCGAATTGCTCTTTTCCAATTGTTTGTGGAAATAGTCGGCATGAAGGATTCTATGCACCTGCAGCCATGGAATTGATTTCCACATCTGACTTTAAAAGTTACAAAAGTATTTCAGCACTATAGAGCACTAACATTCAGATATGTATTAATCCCCAGTAGAAAATTTGTTAGAAATTAGAAAACAAACCAACATTTTGATACTTAAACTGAGGACCTGAGACTAAATGCAACCTCTTTAACCAGTGGGCAATAGGGCAAAAAAAAAACAACTAAAAACTTATTAGTTGCTGATAGCACTGAAAAGTAAATAATAAATAATTCTATTAATACATTTTTGAAATCTGTTACTGTAAGATAAAAACAAGGCAAGGCAAGGCAAATTTATTTGTATAGCACAATTCAGTACAAAGACAATGCAAAGTGCTTTACATGATTAAAATACAGGAAGATAAAACAGAATCAAAGCAAGTAGGAAAAAATAAAAAACAAATAAAATAAAATAAAAAATGCAGAAACAAAAAAAGAATATTAAAAACAGTTGGATTAAAGAAAACATGTTTTTGTTGAACTGTTTAACTAGAATAGTCGAAGGCAATCCTAAACAAATGTGTTTTTAGTCTTGCTTTAAAGGAACTCAGGCTTTCCGCACTTTTACAGTTTTCTGGAAGTTTGTTCCAGATAAGTGAAGCATAGGAACTAAATGCTGCTTCTCCATGTTTAGTTCTGGTTCTAGTTATGCAGAGCAGGCTGGAGCCAGAAGACCTGAGTGGTCTGGAGGGTTGATAAACTGATAGCAAGTCTGTGATGTATTTAGGTGCTAAGTCATTCAGAGATTTATAGACTAACAGAAGTATTTTAAAGTCTATTCTCTGAGATACAGGGAGCCAGTGTAAGGACTTTAGAACTGGGGTGATGTGCTCTACTTTCTTAGTCTTAGTGAGGACACGGGCAAGACCCTACTAAAAACCGCAGTGGCCAAATATAAATTAAAACAAAGTTACCATCTATGATAAAGACACAAGATCCTTAACCTAAATAGAAGGAAGCCTAAAGCACAATCCAGTCAGCAAGAGGTGAAACTAAGAGTTGAGAAATTGAGCAGTAGTGGGTGTGTTGCTGAGCCCCTTGGATTTTGCTGCTGACATTCACAATTCTTTGGCAGTTTTAATGTTATACACTGAGGTTTTCATAGCAGCATATCACAGAAAAAAGTCAGAATGGATTAAATGTAAGATTTAAAAAATATCCACATTCCTATTTTACAAAGATTTTAAGCCTTTTTGTTGTCACAGTATGCAGATGTTTGGAAGTGTCAACAGTCTCAACCTCATCCCCTATGATGGATGATATATGAGGAGCTGGGAGATTATGTCTAAAATCAATCATCTCCTTAGTTTTCAACACATTAAGCTGATGAAAGGTGTTGCTATTATGGTGGAAAAAAGCAAAAAGAAAATCAAGTTATGGGTTGAACTAAAAAATACTGCAGAATTGGAGAATAGAAGTAGATTGAAAAAGAAGGATGTTAAGTGGTTCTCATGTCCTCCAGCAGCCTAAGACAATAGTAGCATACTTATTGAGACAGATCAGGATAACCTGAACAACTCTAGCTAACTTAAAGACAAAATAAAAAGAACTGTTATATAATACAACATTTTCAAAAAACTGTTTATTAACAGTTAGCAATATCTGAACAGTTTGATTCGGTTTAAGTTTTCGTTTTTGTTTTATTTCCATTTTGTGTTATTCTAGTTGTTTATTGTTGTATTGGAGTTCTTATGTATTTCTTGTTTACCATATTGTGTCAGTATCCTTCTCCTAGCTCCCTTCTAGATTCTTCTCTCCAAACCTGCTCCCAATCTGCTGCTTAGCTTGGTCTTTGTTCAGTCTCCCATTTATACTCATCCTCTTCAGTTAGTGTTGGCTGGTTCCTCGTCATTTTATGGCTCCTCGTGTGTCTTTTCCCTGACTTCTCTTGGGTTTTTGGGTTCTGCATTTTGTGTTTGGACTATGCTTCTTTTAAATCCTGCATAAAATCTGAAGGAAACCACCTCAGTTTCCATCTCTGCATTTGGGTCCTCTAAAAACCTCCACACAACCCGACAATGCTGAACACTTTATTACTTTTTTTTTTCGATAATGAAACGAGTCAGATAGCTTTTAAAATCAAATTGAAATTGTTCCTGCCTGCACAGCCAGTTGCATGTTTTTTTTTGTTTGTTTTACCTTTCTGTGTTTTATGAGTATTTCACCTTTTTTTTTGAGTACCATAAGTAAATAAGCCTTTTTCAGAATGAGTTGAATAGAAGAAACGTGATTAAATTAGGTAGTGATATTAATTTCCTCTTTTTTCTAAATGTTTATGTTTGTGTAATTTGCGGTATGAATGTATGCCTATGTAAGAAAGGGATAAGTTCAAAAAGTACAAATATGATTGAAAAATAAACTAAAATCATATGTAGTAATAGGTTGGACAGATTTAAAAAGAAGCAGAAAGGAATAAAATTGCATTTTCTAACCCAGAGCCTTTTAGCTCTTATAGCAGTGACCCCAAATGAAGCCTGATATCGTTTAATTGTCTCATCCCCGGCTTTGTTTTTCAATTTTCTAGTTTGGATTAAGACTGCACATAAATAATAAACCTGCCTGACATTTTGACCACAGATGGAGCTGATGCAAAGCTTGGCCGACATCATGATGGGAACCGTGCAGTACAACGAGGAGGGAGTGCTTATGTCTATAAAGGAGCTGTGTAGTGTTATGTCCGATAAACGTGAGGAGAATGAAGGAGAGATGGAGGCTTACAACCGCCTTGTGAAACTCTCACAGGTATAAAATGCTCTTTGTGGTAATTGTGTATTTTTATTATCTAGACACCACTAGATGTCAGCACAGAGCCGTTTCAGTGAAAACTTCACTTGAGCCCTTAGGGGCCCTGCAGTAAGAATGACAAAGTGGTGTCTGATAGGAATCTTCTGATATTATTATTTAATAAAATATTTTGCTCTTAGCTGAAATGTTTCATGTGTGCACAGATTTACCGTTCCACCTCTAATGAACCATGCCTGGACATATCTCATGAGAAAACAGTGAAAGATCTGCTGGACACGTCTCACAGGCATCGTAGAAGATCAGAGAGGCAGTGGATCTACCAGACCTGCACTGAGTTTGGCTTCTGTACAAAACACTTACTCAGATTATAACACATATAGCAAATGATCATCCCTTCTCTGTCTCAGACCTTCTTTTCCCATTTACTCATAGATCAAACCTGTGAGGATGCCACCTGTCCATTCTCTGGGATGTTAACCCTTCAGGCTCAGACTAAGCTCTGTGCAGAGGTTTTTGGTATTTCCCAGCATTCTTTGCCTGCACGCATTGCCTTCACAAACAGCTACTATGGTGGAGACCACCCTCAAACAACCAGGGTCCTTTATGTTAATGGTAAGGTTCGCTTCACTGGAGAAAAAAAACAACAAAGCCAATGAATAAAGCTCCATACCACAGTGAGCAGAAACAGTTCAATTTTCTAGACAGTCAACCCCTGCAAGGAAACTCGTCTGCTGTGTCAAGATTAAATAAGAAACCAGTGCAGCAGGGCCATTAAGTACATCTGTATCATCATCATCATCACTGCAGGTGGAGTGGACCCATGGAAAGAGCTGTCAGTGGTTCAGGACAGCACTGATGAGGCTCAGACAGTTTTCATTAAGAACACTGCGCACTGTGCTGACATGTCGAGTCAAAGACTAAAGGACCCCCACTCACTCAGGAAGGCGAGACAGGTACGGCCTCCTGACTCAGGTGTTTGTTGTCTGAGCAAAGACTGCATTACTCTGCAAAAGTATTCAAACCAATTAAACATTTTGACATTTTGATATATAATTGGTTATAACCTCATAATTTAATGTTATTTGTTGGATTTTATGGCTACAGCATTATGATAAAACTGTCTTAGGTTGGTAATATGAAAAAAAACAACAAAAAAACATTTTTGCTTCTTATAAAAAAAAATACAAATTTTTAAATATAATGTGGATTTATATCCAACTCATTTTTCACTGACAGCTCTAATTTCACTGTATTGATTGAAACAATATCAGCCATCTTTCTGCTATGTGCAAAAAGGCTTTTTAAAATAAACAACAAAACTGGTGATCCTATTAAGCCATTATCTTATTTTTTACCCCTTTTCCAAAAGTTAAACCCTTCACCTGTAGGTAGGTAAACATAGTCGTATTAGAAAAAAACAGCAACATTTATTACATACAACTCTTGTGATTAAAACAAACAACAAATCTTGATGCTTTGCATACATTTTAGAACATTAATGTCCACAAAAGTCATGCATCTTAAGATGAATTAAACCTCTATTAATCAGTTTCAAAGATAAACGGGCTATTTAGAAAATATGATTTAGAAAAATAAAAATAAATAATATCTAATAACAATTTTAAACCCAAAAAACATCATTTAGAAGTCTGCTAAATTAAGGTTAAAATAACTAAGTAATTTGGTTGTTTGGTTTAATTTCTTCGTCCTATTTTTAGTTTTTCAGTAATTTTCAAGTTTGTTTTAAAATCTGTTGTTTTGAATTTATAAAAGGAGGATATGTTTTGCTTTGTATTTTTGCCAAATCATTTTATGTAGATACAGCTATGCTTAAATTGTTAAAATAATTAAACATTTAATTTGTCTGTTGCATTTAAGTTAGTGATTATAACTATTTTTTTTTACATTTGCTCCATAAGATATCATCAATTGTTTTACAAATATTCATTTTAATTATTTGATAGGGACAATGCAACAACATAGCAATAAAAATGTTATATTATGATGAGATGCACAAAGAGTTTAAAGCTAATGCTTCCACTCCTGTCCCTAGTTATATTATGTTTTTAAGTGAAACTAGAAAGAAGCCACGTGGTCAACACGATCAACAACAATACTGTATGCTTCATGTTTTCTCAATCACAGGCATAAAGCATACAAATGAAAGTACAGATATTTGCTTTTGACAGATAGTACTATTGTGTAATTTTGAACAAAACATCTTTAATTTCGTCATAATTATATAGATATTTCAACTCATATGGCTGAAAACTAAGAAACTCTTTCCTATAGAATATTTAATACTTTCTTTAAATTAAGACCAGCCTGTAAAGTAAATTGATATATTACTATATATTTTATATTCAGTGATATTGTCACTCAATTGCAGGTTTTGCAGATGCTGATTTTGTCCAGCGCTGTTTGAACACAGCTTATTGGTATTTTATAAAGTGGACTCGGGGTCAGACAGTAGCAAATAGAAACAGAGTGAAGTGCACCATGGGAAGTTTGCCTTTTCTCCAATGTAAAGAGTGAGATCAATAAAGACAATCAATGCCTTCTTGTTTGTTACATATTTAGATCTTCCTCTGATTTTACTCTTAGACAAAAGTCTGATAGCAAAATTGCTCATTTTATGTATTCACTATAAAAACTTTAAAATCAGAGTGTATTCCTAATAAACACTTAGCAAACAGATGTGGTGCATTTGCTGCTCACCAATCAGGCCAGATCATGTGCAGTTTCCTCATGTTTACCCATTTTGTAACTAGCCTACATGTTTAATCAGCTCTATTCATTTAATGACACTGTTTAATATCAGGAAATTTTAAGAACCTGTCTTTTGTTCTCTCAGGAAATTGAGAACCACGTCACCCGCTGGCTGAAAACAGCCGCTCTGGAGCAGATGAAAAAGAGTAAACCCTGCCTGTGACCAGGTCACATTAGAGCCAGATCAACTCTTATCATTGTTTTCTGAAACAGATAAAGAAAGAACTGTTCAAACTCTAGGCTGAATGCTCTGCTTCAATCCTATCCTCTATTTCCTCCTGTTGTCCCCACGTTTTGCTTTGTCTCAATGACAATCTCAGCCCTGCAGTTAACCAACCTGCTGCCCGTTAGCATTTCGATCTAATAAGAAGTTATAATTTTGTATAATTTTTTTGCTACAATAAAAAAACTGCTGTTTCTTCCATTATTTTAATCACTAGGAATGTGATGGAGTAACTTTGTAAGTAAACTTGTTTCTCGAAACCACCTGATATTAAAGTTTGAAGCCATTAATCTGCTGTTACTGATTAAATGCAGTAAACCTGTCAAGGTGAAACACTTTCCTCAGATTTGTTTCGTGCTTTCTTCCAAAAAAAGAAAAAGTGCTGTGCCCGACTCTATCTGAGGAGCTGATACGGTCGGGCTGTTTTATTTTTAACATCAGAGAAATCGTGAAGATACGGAACGTGTTTGAGGAGAAAAGGTGAGGGGAGAACCAGTTGTCCCAACGCCATCTGTTTCAGTGTGTGTGTGTGTGTGTGTGTGTGTGCGTGTGTATGCGTGAACCTCTCAGCAGGAGGGTCAAAAGTGGGAGGTCATGACCCTGCTGACCCCCGTGGGAGTGGAGCTCATCAATCAACTGGAGGTTGGACAGAGCTGCAGGAGGGCACACACAGGCACGCAGGCCTTATGACACACACTGATACTGTAATGGTGTGTTATCAAATGCATTAAAAAAAGGGAATTTGTTACGGGAAGGATTTTCTATGATCCAGAGCAGGATCAGCTTTCATGGGGAAAAAAAACTTTAAATATAAAACAATGCTTCCACTGACACACAAAAGGCCTCAGTGGTGATTGCTGCTGGGTTTCTATGTTGTTGCTAAATGCTTCTTCACCCACAGATGTAATCTCATTTCTGCATAGACTGAATTGGGGGACAGCTAATTTTATTCTTTTAGTTTTGGGGGGCATCTTGTTCCTGGTAATCTGTATCCCTTCAGTGTTGCAAACTAAGAGACACACACACTACCACAAACTCCATGAGCTGCTATCTAGATTATCAGCCAGGAGAGCGACAGGGCATGCTTTTTCTCTCCCCACCACCGCCCCACCTCCTCCTCTCTCTCTCTCTGCAGCCTGTCCTGTTGATCAATGAGGAAGTTCTTGGGCCTCAACTATTAATCAGAGCCTATCGGCTATCTGTCCGCAGAGCCAACCAATCACGGCCCTCCGACAGCTGGGCCATGAAAAATGTGGCCCTGGTGGATGGAGGGGAGGAGGTTCGGGGGGGTGGAGGGGGCAGTGATGGGGTCGCCAAGAAGAGAAGGAAGGTGAAGAAGCACTCCATCTGAACTGAGTCAGGTCACGGCTGCACTTAACGTGCCGGTGGCCTCCGCACGGAGGTGAACAATCAGAGTTCATGGTTTCCATGATAGAACAACGCGATTTAAAGCATCGCTCCAGCTTTAAACGTTAAAAGTGACAAAGCTCCAATGAGCACAGTGTTTTCATGGTGCCTCTGAGGGGGAAAGCTCCCCTGTGAAAAGTTTTCCTCCGCTGATCTAATGTCCAACGCCGAGCAACCTCCCTGAGCTTCCTCAATACGCCACCGTCGCTCTTCTGCATAATCACAGTTGCTCACACTCATCCATTCACATCTTATTGCCATGATTGGATTACATCTAATGCTATTACATTGCTCCCCATCTACCCCTCCCCCCTCTCATTGCACCTCTGTCTACCTCCTCATAGATTTCTTGCAGATGTTATTAGAGTCTGATACGGTGCAGGTCTCCCCCTCCTTTCTCCAACCCCACATTTTGGATTTATGAACCCCTCAGACTTCTCTGCTTTAATCTGTCTCTTCTCCTCCTCTCCCTTCCTGCGCCCGTCCATCCATCATTCCCTGGCTTGGTTTGGGCGGAAGAGTATTAATCCCGCCATCCCATCTCTCACTCCTGTGGACAGATGAGAAGGTAGAGGAGAAAAATTTGGATGGGAGGAGGAGGGGTAGAGGGTAGCCGACCTCAGATTACTTTTCATAACATTTCTGTAGCATGGTGGGAAACGATGATGAGGCATGGCAGGTGTTGGTACCTTCAACAGGTACAAGCTGGGGATGATTGTGCGCTGCGTGAAAGTATTATCAATTGAACCTTTTCATATTTTGTCATGCTGTGACGTGAAACCTCGAGGCATTTCTTTTTGGATTTATGTTAGAAATAATAAAATAGCCAGTAAATTATAACACTGAGGTAGAAACAGAAACACAGCTGCTTTTGAAAGGCCTTAACTTAATTAGGCTAAATCTGAAATGTGTCTCTGGAGTTGGTGCTTTGGAAAAGCATTATTTTTCAGCCCAACGACTGGCTAAAATCATGTTTGGGTCTGGATTTCTGCAAAGCCATTCCAGGATATAGCTTTGCTTTGATTGCACTGTCACTCTGACTGGATCTTAAAGCTAGTTCTGCTGCTGGAATTTGAACCACCACTCCAGTTTATTTTAGCCTCTGAAAGGTTTTCTTTCAGCGCTTCCATCAACTCTAAACAGCATCCATGAGCCCATCAAAGAAAAGCATCCCCACAGCATAACGCTGCCACCACCATGCCTCATCATGGGTTTGTTGATTACAAGATGTTGTGCTGCTTCCAAACCTTCAACTTTTGTTCCTATAACTAGCGCCATCTGCATTCATCCTTACATGAATTGCAGCAAACTGATAAAAAAAAACCTTCATATGATCCTCTTAACATGAAATTATTGCTTCTCACTGTTACAATAATGGCCTGAATTTGTAGAATTCATGACTTGTCAGTAATCTGAGTGAGGTTTGTATCTGTGGAGCTTTCATTAGGAAACATTGAGCCTCTTGACTGTTCCTCATGTACTCGCTGTTAGTTTAGATGAGTTCCTGCCATGTTAGGCCTGCAGATGATCCAAGTCTTCATTTTTAGATCATGGATTCAACAAAGCCCTGTAATATGACGAAGGCTGATAACTTTGCCTAATTACATAAAGCTGCTTCTTAATCCATGATCCATCCTCATGATGATGTTTGTTCTTTATGCTTTCAAACAAACTTGTGAAACCTGAGATTAAATTTCAAACAGATTGCCTCTTTTTACTACTTACTTTTGAACATTTTATTAGCAATCAGACTAAAAAGAGTTTGATGCAAACTTTAAAGAGTTGAATTTGTAAAAAGTTTAATATCATTACTTTCCATCGGGTTTTTACAAATCAAACACTTTGAAGTTAAATAACTTTTAAACCCCAGTTAAACACATTAAAGTGTGTGGATTTAAATGACAAAAAATGCAGAACAATTCAAGAAACTTGAAACCTTTTGAAAGATATCCTGTATCACGTTCAGACGAGAGAATGAACTACTTGGTATAGGGATCCGTGTCTCTGTCCTGCAGCCTGCATGTTTAACTGGCAGTGACAGACTCAAACTGTTCTGCTGTTTGGTTATAAGATGCGTCCCGATCAAGCTTGCGGATGTCTGTCCTAAACAGACACTCACACAGAACCACTCGGCTTCAAAGAATCCAATCAGTTCGGGGAAATCAATCGTTGGGTTTAAGTATTTATTATGCTGGACCCCTCCACTCTAAATGCTGCATAGAAGCAAATTCAATGAAACTGGGTAAAAAAGAAGAGGAGAAAAATTTGACCAGGGGTCAAGGAAAAGTCGGTTCTCCTCCTCACCTCAGCCCCCACTCTGTATCGTGGTCTGTGCAGTGGCAGGTAGATTAAGGGGCGTGATAGATGCCCCTCTCTGTATCTCCCTTTCCCCACCCCCACCACCACCCAATCCCCCCAGCTCCCTCCATCCCATCCATCATGGCGGCTGGTGTAATTGCGGCTGCGTGGGGCTGGCAGAGGCAGCCTCCATCCATCTCCTTAACAACAAACAGTCATGAGGACGGATGGTGCTGCACTCCCCAGTTAATCTCCATCTATGAGGGGGGAGAGGGGGCAGGAGGGTAACAAAGAAGAGGAGGAGGAAAGAAGGAAAAATGGTGGAGAGGAAAATAATACAAAAAAAACTTTACAAATAAAGGGGGGTAAAATCTGGAGTGGAATATTGGTCACATGTTTCATCTCAGCTGGTAAAAACATCTAAAGATGAATGACCCAGGTGGCTGGAAGAAGCGGATCTGGGGGGAGAAAGTTTGCAAACAGGCTGCAAGAGAAGCTCAATAAGGGAGGATTTGCCTGGAGAGGAAGGAGAGAGCAGATGAGCTGGAGGGAGGGAGAAAATATATTCCAATATTCTCCAAGAAGACCCAGAAAGTGGAGCCCCTCTGCATTCACCCCGCTTTCTTTTCCTCCATCCTTCCTTTCTCCTTTTACATACCTCCATTACCCTGATCCCCCCTTCACCGACACAGGCAGAGTAGGTTCACAGTTGTCTGATGTTTCTGCTGCAAGGCGGTTGCTGCCAGGGGTCATGGCAGCCAGATTTCCTTTATGGTGGAGTCACCAGAGTCAACAAGGCTGGGTGGCCTTCTGAAGTTCAGTAAAACTAGACCTTTGTGGCAAGATGATCAAACTGTGGAGGATGGATTACCATGTGAAACAGCTGGAAGCGTGTATGTTTGAAGAAACAGAATCATGCTGAGAGGGCTCTACAGAAGGAAAGGGCTCTTTGAATATCAGCTAAATCGAGGCTTTAAGGACATAAAATGAAACAAAAGTCGATCCTTTCTTAAATAAGAGAAAAATAAAGACACAAGCACACACCTCCTCTCCGCTTGTTGTGCCCTGTTTTGTAGCCCCGGGCATCGCCTGGAGGAACGCCCAGCTTAGAAAGGTAACAGCAGGACACTGACCCTCCAGCAGGCAACAAGGGCCACACACATGCCTGCATATAGACACACACACTACAGTACATGCATTCCTGAATCTGCTGTCCTGTGCTAACATTTATGCTGGTGTGAGCACACACACTCACCTGGCCTTGGTGGGTGTGGAGCAGCGAGCACTCAAGCCTTGACAGGAGGAGACAAATAACTGCAGCAGCCTTGACATGCAGAATGGCCACTGCACAGAGGACCTGGTTGACTGATATTCAACTCTGTGGTGCAGAAAATGAGACTATTTTTTTTCTCCAAAGCGGGTCTCTACAACAAACTGCAATCATATAAGCGGGAATAAACCTGTGCTTGCTCTGGCTTAAGAATCTCCTTCATCTTAAGTTAGAAGCAAACACTTGTTAAGTATTTGTTCTATTAAAAAGGCAAGGAGCTCGCAATTGTTTAAGATGTCATGGGGACAGAAATTTCAAATCAATTAAAGCACCTTTCAAAAGCAATCCACCACCTGGGAGGAA